AATATTAAAAGTATCCTTATCAGATCACAGTGTAATAAAAATATAATGTATTTAGTAAAAGGTCAAGGAAACATAGATCAAAAACTAACTGGAGATTAACCAACCTCATCTTAAAGAAAGAGTCAGTCAAATAACAAACCATAGAAATAATAATTTCATTAAAGAGAATGACAATCATTCCCCAATTGATAAATGGTCAAAGGATATAAACAGGCAGTTCCCAGATGAAGAAATTAAAGCCATCTATAGTCACATGAAAAAATGCTCTAAATCACTACTGATTAGAAAAATGCAAATCAAAACAACTCTAAGGTACCATATCACACCTATCAGATTGGCCAACATGACAAAATAGGAAAATGATAAATGTTGGAGAAGATGTGGGAAAATTGGAACACTGATCATTGTTGGTGGTGTTGTGAAATGATCCAGCCATTTTGGAGAGCAATTTGGAACTATACCCAAAGGGCTATAAAAATTTGCATACCCTTTGACCCAGCAATAGCACTTCTAGGGCTTTATCCCAAAGAGATCATATACATGGGAAAAGGACCCACATGTACAAAAATATTTATAGCAACTCTTTTTATGGTGACAAAGAATTGGAAATTGAGGGAATGCCCGTCAATTGGGGAATGGCTGAACAAGTTGTGGTATATTAATGTAATGGAATATTATTGTGCCATAAGAAATGATGAGAAGACAGACTTCAGAAAGACCTGGAAAGACTTGTATGGACTGATGGTGAGTGAAGTGAGCAGAACCAAGAGAATGTTGTACACAGTAACAGCCACGTTGTGCGATGACTAACTTTGATAGACTTAGCCCTTCTCAGCAATGCAAGGTTCTAAGAAATCTCCAAAGGTCTCATGATAGAAAATGCTATCCACATTCAAAGAAAGAACTATGGAGTTTGAATGCAGATAGAAGCACACTATTTGCTATTTTTTTCTTCTGTTTTGTTTCCTATTTCTCACGGTTCCTCCCATTGGTTCTAATTCTTCCTTACAACATTACTAATGTGAAAATATGTTTAACAGGAACGTAAATGTAAAGCCTATATCAAATTGTGAGCTGTCTTGGGGAGGGTGGAGGAGAGAAGAGGGAGAAAAATTTTCAACTCAAAAGAATATGGAATTGATTGTTGATAAATCAAAATAAATTAATAACATTTAAAAAAAAATTTAAAAAGCAGAAAAAGAAAATCATAGGCCAATTTCATTAATTAATATGTATGCAAAAATCATAATAAAATGCCAGCTAAAAGATTACACAACACATTACAAAGATTATACATTATGATTAAGTGATGGTTTAGCATAAGGAAAACAATATAATTGATGATATAAATATCAAAAATTTAAAAAATCATGATTATATCAATAGGTACGGAAAAAGCTTTTGATAAAGTTAAATACTCATTCTTATTAAAAAATACTTGAAAGTATTTGTATAAGTGGATTTTTCCTTAAATTAATAAAAAGCATTTATCTAAAACCATCAGGAAGTGTTATTTGTAATGGGGATAAACTAGAAGCTTTTCCAGTAAAATCATGTGTGAAACAAGGATGCCCACTGTCACCACTATTATTCAACATTGTATTGGAAATCCTAGCAATAGTAATAAGAGAAGAAAAAGAAGGAATTAGAATAAGGAATGAGGTTATAAAACTCTCTTTTTTTTGCAGATGATATGATGATATTCTTGGAAAATCCCAAAGACTCGACTAAAAAGTTATTTGAAACAATTAATAATTTTAGCAAAGTAGCAAGTTATAAAGTAAATCCATATAAATCATTAGCATTCCTAGTTAAAAACAAAACTCTCCAAGAAGAGATAGTAAAAAAATATCCCATTTAAAATAACTCTGGACAAACCAAATCCAGGAACTATATAAACAAAATTATATTAAAAAACCTTTGTATATAAACAAAATCAGATTTTTTAAATTGGAGAAATATTGTTCATGGGTAGACAGGGCCAATATAATAAAAATGATTATTTTATCCAAACTAATTCATATATTCAATGCCATTCCAATTAAATTACCAAAAAAAATTTTTTTTTTACTGAATAAGAAAAAAAAATCACAGAATTCATTTGGAAAAACAGTCAAGAATATAAAAGGAAATAATGAAAAAAATAGGAAAAATGGAGGTTTAGCAGTACCAGATCTTAGACTATATTATAAGGCAGTAATTATCAAAACTATTTGGTACTGGCTAAGAAATAGAAAGATGGATCAATGGAATAGAGTAGACATACAATTTACAGCAGAAAAAAACATAACTCTGTATTTGACAAATGTGAGGACTTAAGATTTTGGGATAAGAATTCATTATTTGGTAAAAAATGTTGGGAAAATAGAAAGCAATATGGCAGAAACTGGGCAGAGACCAATATCTTATACCGTTTACCAAGATGATGTCAAAATGGACCTAGATATAAAGAGAGATTTTATAAGAATATCAGAACACAGAACATATTACTTATCAGACTTGTGGATAGGTGAACAATTTAGGAATAAGAAATAGACAGCAAAATGAGGTGTAAAATGGATCATTTTGATTACATTAAAAAAGCTTTTTTTTTTTGGTTTTTGCTAGGCAATTGGGGTTCAGTGACTTGCTCAGGGTCACACAGTTAGTATGTGTTGTGTGTCTGAGATTGGATTTGAACTCAGGTCCTTCTGACTTGAAGGCCAGAGCTCTATCCATTGTGCCACCTAAGTGACCCTTATAAAAAGCTTTTGTACAACTGTGGCCAAGATCAAAAGGAAACCAGCAAACTGGAAAAAAAGAAAAAAGACAGTTTATCAGATAACGGTCTTATTTCTCAAATACATAAAGAACTTTGCCAAATCTATAAGAATGAGTCATTTCTCAATTGATAAATGTTCAAAGGATACAAACAGGCAATTTTCTGAAGAAATAAAAACAATTTATAGTTAAAAAATGCTCTAAATCATTATTGATTGGAGAAATGCAAATTAAAACAACCTTGAGATATCACTTTACGCCACCAGATTGGTTAAAATGACAGAAGGGGAAAATGACAAATGTTGAATGGGATGTGGAAAAATTGGGACATTAATTCATTCTTGGTGGAATTGTGAACTTACCCAAACATTTTGGAGAACAATCTGGAATCATGCCCAAAGAGTTAGTAAATAACCTATACTCTTTGACCCAGCAGTACTATTACCTGGTCTGTTTTCAAAGATAAATACGGAAAAATGAAAAGAACTCTTTGCAGTGGCAAATGACTATTGTGGTATATGATTATGATGGAATACTACTGTACTGTAAGAAATGATGAGCTCAATGATTTTGGAAAGACATGGAAAGACTTACACAAAATAATGAAGAGTGAAATGAGTGGAACCAAGAGAATATTGTATATGGTAACAGCAATATTGTTTTAAGAACGATTCTGAATAAGTTGTTTTGACTTTTATAAATACACAAATTAACTAATAAAGTGCAGAAAGACACTACCTGCATTCAGAGAAAGAACTAATAAAGAGAAGAATGTATAGAGTAATTTTACATATATCTATATCTATCTATACACACTTATTTGTGTCTAATGGTAGCCATCTCTAGGGTGGGGAGAGGGAAGAAAAAAATTTACATGTTAATTTTGTTGTCTACTTGAAAGGAATAGCAAGGTGTTCATAATAGATTTATAGTTGCATATACAATCTTTTTTTATTGTACTGTGTTATAGAAATGCGTGTTTTATTCCATAAATTAAAGATAAAATTTAAAAAAGAACAAACTACTAAAAGAGTCTTTTATTTCTTCATGAAAAGTGCCCATTACATTTCCCAGCTTATAGACAGCTTGATGAGTTAATGATAATATCATAAATCAAAACTAGAAAGATCTTTATAAGCCATCTGGCCCCAACCACTTATTTCACTGAGTGAGAAACTGAGATCCCAAAAATGAAGTGGCTTATCCACTTCTCTTTGCCTAACCAAGCCTTTACTTAAATTCCCTATCTTTAACGCTTTTCCTGGTTCCATCAGTCTTTTCCTCCCCTGAGCCACTGTTGTCCTTATCGTCATTAACTCATATAGTAGTTAAATAACTGAATATTGGATATAGCTACTAGTATAATGAAAGTCAGATAAAGCATGGGTTGAGGAAAAAGACCAAAGAATTATTTCCCAGGGATGTTTCTCTTCTTCTGAACTTGTGCATGACTAAGATCTTGGTATTGATCTAATCTTTGAGTTTTGTGGATATGATATTCCGCACTGATCCAGATGCGCCTTAAGGATGAAGCCCAGAATCAATCCCATATCCACTGACAGAGCGTTATCTCATTGTGGCAACAAGAGCTAACCAGCTAAGTGACAGACCATCAAAGCATCTCTGGGAAGAACATTAGTGACATTGTATACATCTTATATATATGTGGTTACTTGACTCTCCCAGTAGAATGTGACTTCTATGAGAACTGGACCTCTGTTTTTACTCTTCTTTATATGCCAAGCACTTAGTACAGTGCCTGGCAAATATGTGGTAAGTGCTCAATAAATGTTCAATGAGTGACCTTTTTTTTTTAAGATGCATAAAGAGTCATTGGAAAATTTTACCTTTTCCCATAATTTTGCCTTTTCCAATTTGATTCAATTGCTCCATATGCCACTATATCTAACAGTTAAATGTTACTTATTGAATTATATTACTTGTCATTGAAAGTTAGATAAAAACATGCCAATCAAAATAGTGAACCACTTTCTAGTGGTGCATGAATTTTGAGATCACTACAAGGGAAAGAAAAGTACTTTACTTTATCCTGTAGCTTATCATCTGAACATAATTTGAACTTTATTCTCAGGCTGAGAATAAGGAACTTTATTTAAATAGTTCAATTTGAAAATGCTTCATTTTAGAACATATTTACAAAATATGGTGATTTAAAAATTATTATGACATGGATTCAATAGTCCAGGAGTTTATGATCATTTGGTCAATCTTAAACTTACCTTAAACTTGCCTGTCTCTGTTGATGGAAAGCTTCCCAGTGATCCCATATTTTTCTCACCAATGGTGAAAGAGGAGTTTGTTTGCTATGAATTAAAAAAACTTGAAACATGGAACTGGATTACAGAAACAGATATTATTTTAAGACTAATAATAAAAACTAATCCTTACTGAAAGCAGAATAGAGAACAAACATTTAACAGTAGTAAAATCTATTATTATAAGTTAAGTGTTAAATCTAACAAGTAGGTTGACAAAATAAATTATTTTTGCTGTTAGGACAAAACTTATTACCCTGAAGAGAATCATGTGGCTTAGCTGGTATATGGCAACACATGGTTGAAATTCTGTATTGGTTTGAAAAGAAAAGTGGTAAGACACTTGAATTATTAAATAATGACATTTTGATAACTTTTGTCCAATTACTTTGTACTATTAATTTTATAGTCTGATTTGTTTTTAGTATACCAATGCTAGTTTAGTAACAAATGGTTCAGAAATCCTATTTTCTAACTGCTAAATTTACTTGCATCATACTGATTATAAATCTATAATTATAAGAGATATTAAATATTTGGTTTTGAATGGATTTATCTTGAGATTTCAAAATTAAAGAATGGCAGGACACATTCACCTTAAATCACTCCATGATGCAAAGCAGGCAAAGAAACATGCATAGACAGATTGAGGCACCAATTTTTAAAAACAAATTTTACAACGCTACTTTGAAATAATACAAATTCTCATGTCAAAAGGAAAGAAGATAAATTTTGACTATGGGATTCTTTAATCACTGCAGAAACGTCTATGTTCCTTAGAAGGTGATTGGGGTATCTGGCCTGGACCAGTAGTCAAAAAAAAAAATAGCATGTCGTTTTGAAAGGACATATTGTCTCCAAAGTATTGTGTTTTTTACATATATAAAAACATATATATATATATGTATATATACATATATATGCGCGCATGTATGTGTGTGTACACACACACACACACACACACATAGTCATGAGTGACTATATTCATTAGAAACAGTTCATCTTCATCCCTTTTCAAGAAAGTTTTTTTTTAAATTAGTATTTTTTTTTCCTGGGGCAAATCCTATCATTTGGTCATAGAAAATATTGGGAAAATAATAAATCACTTTTCAAAAAAATCAGCTTTATGGACAATTTTGCTGCACCAAAATCTCATTAAAAAATTGAGGTTATCCTTTGCAATTTCTGTCTTGCCAATTCTATATTTCAAATTACCTCAACCCCATCCTTTACACTCTAGTCTCTTTTCCTTTCTTCTAATCTCCTAGGAAGAGGAGGCCCTTCTCCTTACCCATGCCAACCCCCCAACCTGAGCCCTTAGTCCCATCACCTCCTCTCTCCACTGTGTGTTTATGTTTTCAATAGTGTTCATTCTCCCCCTAGTTTTTAATCTCTCCTTATCCACTGGCTCATTTATCACACCTAGGAGAAAAGAATGAAACAGAAAATTATTCCAGAATAATTCTCAGGTAATCTATTTCAAAATTGAGTATACAAACTATTAGCTAGGTATCAGAAATGCCTAGTTACAAGCTTACCTAAACATAAAGATGATATTTCTTTTATATTGTCTAAATGGCAATAAACAATTTAATTCATTCAGTTGTTTGGCTTCCACGCCAGCAGTTTAGTTTGATTCTTTAGTTCATAAGATGTAGCCTAAAAACCAAATTTACATCATACCACCATTTTTCCTTTGTTCTTTTTGAAGGAATGAGAAAAGTTGGAGAGAAAAGAGAAAGATGAGAAAAGAACTAGATTAGATCCAGGTACAGTAAGAGAAAAAGTTCCAGGGCTCCAGAAAGAACATATAAGCCAGAGTCAGGTAGGAAGCATAAGAAGACTGTAGCAGAACATGAAAACACACAGAAAAGGGAGAGATCCAGGCAAAGACAAAGAGAGAACAAGCACACAAGAGAGCCACATAGAGCTAGAGCCAAAGACAGAAAACTACAGAGCCACAGAGGGCTGCTGACAATGCCAGCCAGTGGTAAAGAGAGAAGCTACTCTAGGCAGTCCCACAGCCCAAATGTTACAGTCATCTTTGCCACTAGAATAGTAAACATGCTATAATTACTATAATCAATTCAAGTAATAAATCAAGTGAATTTTACATAGTGAGAGCCATGATAAAATTGTTTAAAATAAAATTTTTATTGACATCTTTTCTTTTCATATCACTTACATTTCTGAAATTTAGCCATTCCCCATCCCCCTTCCGGTGATATCCTTACAATAAAGAATCAAAGAGATACCTCTGCTCCACCCCCAAATGTAACAAGGATTTCAGAACTGACTGGAATTCTGGGATTTTTAGTTCAGGACAAATATTCCCTCAAAGCTCCATGAGTGATTTGGACTATTGCCATCTGTTAGCCCAAAGGAGGGTTGAATACTTTCTGTGAATTTTAAAAAGGACATATATGATCTATGAGAGAGCAGGCTGAGATGTGGGTAGTTAAGAGTCCCCAGTCTTGCCCAGGACTTCATAAACAGAACTGGAAAACGTTGGTGGCACAGATGAAACCAACAGAACATGCCAAAAGAAGAAACTGACAGGACAGTGGAGTTTCAGAAGAAAAGGGAGAGAGATTTAGGTGAATTATCCTGCATCTTTACAAATCTCAGAACAGAACACTAGGGCTGAGGTGACAAGTCATACTTACTTTTTCAAGGGTGGAGGGAAGTTCAAAAAATGGTTTGTGCTCTTTCCCAACTTTTTCCTTGCTTGTCTAATAATAGACATCCTAATATATTATGATCACTTCTTTTACCTAATTATTTTCTGCATCTACCTTGTGTTAAACAGAGAGAGGCCAGGGGTTAGTTGTTAGATTAAAAAAAAAATTAAATTAGGGCAGACAGCCAAACCTCTGAATGTTAATAATTTTACTAATTCAGGGCTCTGAAAATGTCATTTTCCTGATTTTTCCTCAGATCTAGACTCCATAAAACAGCAGGGAGGATATCACATAGACCTGAGGGCAACATACTGCCCCTTGGCTAAGGAGTATGCTAAGTGTAACTGAGTGTTAAAAAATTAAATCTCTGAAGAGATAGATTAGAAAAGAAAAAGTAGTAACTAATAAAAGGTTCATAACATACATTAGGGAGAAAATAGGCAAGGCCTGAGAATTTTACTTTGTCCAGTCTGGCAGTGATAAAAAAGCAACAAAGACTGAGTACTGATAGAACAACTCTGCCCTCCACAGCATCACCCAGTACTGTTTCATTAGCAAAAATAACCAGCATATTGAAAAAGAATGACATTATATGTAGTATTTCTCACCCATAGACCCCCACCACCACCTCTGCAAAGAAGATGGGGGAGGTATCTTTTTATCTCTTTTCTTTGGAATCAAGCTTAAATAATTCAGTGCTGATTTATTTGTTGTTGTAGTTTATTTACATTTTTATAATCATTGTATATACTTTTTCCTGGTAATGTTTTCTTCACCTTGCAACAGTTCATATGAGACTTCTCATGAGATGCTGTATTCATTCTCATGAGATGCTGTATTCATTATACTAGATATTTCTTATAACACAGTAATGTTCTGTTATATCAATCTATCATAATTTGTTTAGTCATTACCCAATTGATTGATATCTCCTTTGCTTCCAATTCTTTGCTACTATAAATAGTACTACTATAAATAATTTAGTGTCTTTGGGACCTTTCTGTCAGTGACCTCCTTATAAGGGTACAGGCCTACCAGTGGAGTCCCTAGGTCAAAGATATAGACAGACATTCTTTTAAAATTTTAAATTTCTTTCTAGTATGGCTGGACCAATTCACATTTCCACTGACAATGCATTTTTTCAATCTAGTGTGTATATAGATAGACAGATAGACAGATATAGATAATCTATCTACTTATCTATCTATATATATATACATTTATATACATAGTTAAATATTTCCCAGTTACATATAAAACATTTTTAACATTCATTAAAAAATATTTTAAGTTTCAAATTTTCTCCCTCCCTTTGGCCTCTCCACTCTCTATGAGAAGGCTAATGATTTGATATTAATTATACATGTGAAGTCATGCTTAAAGCTATTTCTACATTTGCCATGTTGCAGAAGGAAACACAAATAAAAAAATGCTGGAAAAACAAAGTTTAAAAAAAAAGAATGCTTCAGGTGGAACTAAGATGACAGAGTAAAGGACTCACCTGAGCTCTTCCCCACACCCCTGCAAATACCTTTAAATAATGACTCTAAACAAATTCTACAGTGGCAGAACCCACAAAAAGACAGAATGAAACAATTTTCCAGCCCAAGACAACTTAGAAGGTCTGCAGGAAAGGTCTGTCACATCCGGGTGAGAGCGGAGCACAATCCAGCACAGGCTGCACCAGTACAATCCAAGCCCCAGGAAACCAGGAGTAGGCCTTAGGAGCCAATGAATCAGCAGCAGCAGCTGCTGCTTCTGGAGCTCTCAGCCAACAGAAGATACAGGGGTCGGACAACTAGTCAAAAGGAGATTAGAGGAGTCTTTTTGCTAGCACTGAGGCAGGATTCTGGTGCTTTGCCCTTCCTTGGATCAGGGTCACAGTCTTCGGTGGCAGTCCCAGGGAAAGTAGGAGCGTTAGCACACCGCAGCCTGGGTCACAGTGGACCCTCCTCACAGTTCCAGAGTAGTAAAGAGTACTTGTGGTCACTCACAGACCAGAGCACAGGCCTGGAGAGTAGTAAACACCTCTCCTTAGATCACATCACCTTAGAAGAAATGAAAACTTACAGGTCCCTAGAAGTATCTCTGAAAATAGCTGCACAAAACCCTTGGAGCTTGGGACTGTATGCCTTTCACCCTGGAAACAGAGTCCTACTTTTATAAAGGGTTAAAAGTCAAGTAATAGGCTAGGAAAATGAGCAAACAATGGAAAAAAATTCTGACCGCAGAAAGTTACTATGGTGACAAAGAAGATCAAAAGACATACTCAGAAGAAGATAACAAAGTCAAAGCTACTACATCCAAAGCCTCCAACAAAAATATGAATTGGTCTCAGGCCATGGAAGAGCTCAAAAAGGAATTTGAAAATCAAGAAAGAGAGGCAGACGAAAAATTGGGAAGAGGAATGACAGCAATGCAAGAAAATCATGAAAAACAAGTCAACAGCTTAGTAAAGGAGACACACACACACATACACAAAATCCTGAAGAAAACAACTTAAAAAACAACTTCAAAAAAAAACATTTTACCAAATGGTAAAAGAATTACAAAAAGCCAATGAGAAGAAGAATGCCTTAAAAGCAGAATTGGCCAAATGGAAAAAGAGGCACAAAAATTCACTGAAGAAAAATACTTCTTAAAAATTAGAACTGGACAAATGGAAAAAGAGGTAGAAAAGTGCACTGAAGAAAATAATTCCTTAAAAATTAGAATGGAACAAATTGAAGCTAATGACTTTATGAGAAATCACGAAACAAAAAACTAAAACCAAAAAAATGAAAAAATTGAAGACAATGTGAAATAGCTCACTGGAAAAACAACTGACCTGAAAAATAGATCCAGGAGAGATAATTTTTAAATTATTGGACTATCTGAAAGCCATGATGAAGAAAAAAGTCTAGACATCATCTTTCAAGAAATTATCAAGGAAAACTGCCTTGATACTCTAGAACCAGAGGGTAAAACAGAAATTGGAAGAATCCACCGATCACCTCCTGAAAGAGATCCCAAAGTGGAAACTCCCAGGAATATTATAGCCAAATTCCAGAGCTCCCAGGTCAAGGACAAAATACTGCAAGCAGCCAGAAAGAAACAATTCAAGTACGGTGGAGCCATAGTCAAGAAAACATAAGATTTATCACCTTCTGCATTAAAGGATTGGAGAGTTTGGAATATGATATTCTGGAGGGCAAAGGATTACAACCAAGAACCACCTATCCAGCAAAATTGAGTATAATCCTTCAGGGGAAAAAAGGGGACACTCAACAAGACAGAGGACTTTCGAGCATTCATGATGAAAATACCAGAACTGAATAGAAAATCTGACTTTCAAATACAAGACTCAAGAGAAGCACAAAAAGGTAAACAGGAAAGGGAAATCATAAGGGACTTAATAAGATTAAACCGTTTATATTCCTACATGGGAAGATGATACTTGTAACTCATAAGAACTTTCTTGTTATTAGGGCAGACAGAAGTATACACACACACACACACATACACACACACACACATACATGTATAGACAAAGGTCACAGGTATAAGTTTAATATGAAGGTTTGATATATAAAAAAAATTAAGGGGTAAGAAAGGAATGTACTGGGAGAAAGCGAAAAGATAAGGTAGAATGAGGTAAATTATCTCACATAAAAGGGGCAAGAAAAAGCTTTTATAGTGGAGGGGAAGATGGGAGAGGTGAGGAGTAAGGGAACCTTACTTTTATCAGAATTGGCTCAAAGA